GCAAATGAGAAAGGAATACTCAGAAAAAAACAAAGAACATATATCTAAGAAAAGTAATGAGTACTACCACCAAAACAAAGAAACAATTAGTGAAAAACGAAAAGAACCTGTTGAGTGTGAGTGTGGTAGTGTTGATAGAAAAAGTCATATTAGAAAACATGAGAGAAGTGAAAAACACCTACGATACACAAACAAAAACATTAGTATCTAAATAGTTCTAATAATACATGCACTTATTAGAACTATTTAGTGGTACTTCTTCAGTTGGTAATGTAGTGAAGTCGCTCGGTTATAATGTTATATCGTTAGATTTGAAAAATGCTGATATTGATTGTGATATTCTTGAATGGGACTATACTCAGTTTGACAGAAACCATTTCAATGTTATTTGGGCATCGCCACCTTGCACCGAATACAAAAGGGCGAAAACAACGGGTATCCGAAAGATTGAGTCTGCTAATAGTCTTGTTTTGAAAACCCTTGAAATCATTGAGCATTTCAAACCTCAATGGTGGGTCATTGATAACCCTCAAACTGGACTTTTGAAGGGACAACCGTTTATGAATGGATTGAAATATTTTGCTGTGGATTATTGTAAGTATGGGTTTAATTGTAGGAAACGGACTAGGCTTTGGACTAACATAACATCATGGAAACCTAGACCATTATGTAAAAGGGATTGCGGTAAAATTAGAAATGGGAAACATATAGAAACTGCTCAAGGCTTACCACCAAAAACGAAGGCGGAATGGGGCGATAATCCTATCATTCATAAACAGGAAGATTTATATATTATACCTTCTTATTTAATTAGTGAATTGTTTGTTGTCCTTATGGGTTGAAGGATGCACATCATTCAGCATCAATAAGCAACGCAACAGTGAAAGATGACCATGCAAAAACAAACAAACGTCTTTTGACACCATCGAACGCTTCCATTGGCAACCTACACCTGATGCTCTGCTCACGTCAAAAATGGTGCATGATGCTATTACTAACTCGGCATTATGCTATGCGGTGCATAGCATAGGGTGATGCAATTATCGCATATCTTCACTTGATTTAGTAACGTTTCAGGATGGTCTTGGAGCATCATGCGGACATAGCGTGCGGTTCGGAACATGCCAGACGGTGCAGTATGTTGTACTTAGCATATACCACGCTGATGCGGGTGAAAGCATTATGCCCTGCGTCGCATCTGAAAACAGCATGCTAGGTCTTCTCATCAGTGATAGACTTTGAAATTTACAACACTACCAATTATGAAAATTGATTAGTGTGTTTATATTATTCAATTATAATATGATTATACAGTATAAACTTGTATAACCTTTAATTATACTATGATTATAACCTACAAACAACTTTCAATGACAAAAACATATCAAAACAAATACACCACCATCACCCCAGAACATTGTAACTACTAAAAGGGCTAACTCTTTCAAATGAAAAAAAATGTCAGCCCCCAGCCCAACAATGAACAAGGCGAGAATTTACCCAAATGATTACCTTAACGAAAACTATATATAAGCTCCCCAAAAACCCTCTATTAAAAACGAAGAAGGGGGAACACAGATTTGAGATGAGCATAAAAAAACCAGAACAGGGGACCATCAACTGGCCTCCCCTCAGGCCCCCCCTTTTTACCATTCCCCCCCCCTCAATTACACCAGCATAGACCCCAGATAGCGAAACACGTGCCAACGATTGCACTGTGCACAAGAATTCCCAAATTGCATGCTACCTAGCACCCTGCCGTCACTCTCGCAAAAACACACCTGGCCGTCACCAGGCCCCCCAAAACAGCACCTGCACCAGCCGTCAATCTCGCAAAAACGCCACGCCCGTCACCACCCCCCCCAAAACCATCCGCGCCATCACCCCGAACAGCACTCCCAGAGCACACGCCCGTCAATCTCGCAAACATGCACCCGCACCATCACCAGCACCTCAAAGAGCACCCCAAACACCATCCCAAAGCAGCACCTTCGCAAACACCCCAGACTGCATGCCTAGCACCCTACCGCTAATCTTGCAAAAGTGCGCCGGCACTGTCACCTGCACACCCCCAAGCAGCACCTGCGCCAGCACCCAAACTGCATACCCTAGCACCCAATCCAAATAAAATGCGCCCGCGGCATCACCAGCGGCTCAAACAGCACCTACACCAGCACCCCAAACTGCATGCCCCCTAGCACCCAGCCGGCAATCTCGCAAATCGCTTTCTCTTCTGCATTAGAAGTTAGAACCCCTAGCTTTCAGCTATCTGGGGAAAAAACGAAAGCAAAGGAACTTGTTGGCTAGACCGTGGGGAACTGCGAATCACCAGAGGGGGTTGCAAAATGTGGGCTGCAAGCGGGTGACGAACTCGTGGGTTGCCTACATTGCCCATGAATGATCATAGGATCCAACATAGTCCCCCGGCCTCCAACAGGAAACCATCTTAGGCGGGCGCCCAGAATCCCTAGGGGACTTTCTGTGCTCCACCTTATGCTTTTGAGAGGATACCTTGTCCGCGTGAACCGTGTGGCAGGCGCGCGCGTCTTGCCAACGGAAGGCACTGCGCTCCTTAGGACCTTAGGGTCTTGGGCCCTTGGGATGTTTCGGCTCATGAAAACCAACAGGGATCCTTACATTATACACCTGAGCATTGCAACTTGTAAATGGTGGTGTCCCTTTATTTTGGTGGAAAAAGCCATGTTTCAAATTGGCAAAATGTATCTTTTAAGGAGCCCTGAACAACTGTCTGACTTTGCAGCGGCTTCAGCAAAAAAAACGAGCTAGATGGAGTTGCCAAACAGTGCCCATTCGAATGCTTCAATGTTGATCCGGGATTCATCTACCTGGTGGATTATTTAGGGGGATGCTTCCCCAGAAAGCGAAATGATGACCTCTTCATTTAGGACCCCCCCCCTTGAGTCAGGGATGTGAAGGAGTCCCCCAAGATGAAGCATTCCCCGCCGGCATGATCTTCCACATTAAGTTTACACTAGCAACCTCATTTAGAGACAAACCCGGTTCAACACCGAAACCTGAAATTTTCAGAAACCCAAGTAAAGCGCTCGCCCAAAAAAAAACGCCTTCGCGGCCGATGCCCGCCTCAGCAGCCGCCCATGCCAGCACTGTGAGCCGCAGCCTGCGCTCCATCGTTGGGTCAAGCCCTGAAACCAGGGCTCTGGAACTTCACCATCGAAACCTGGTGGGATTCCAAGAAGGCGCATTCCCACAACCACTGTAGCACTTTGGAGGGTTTTTTTGTTCTTGGTAACGCAAAAGCGGCTCCAAACCGCTTGTTTCTGGACAACCATGCCTTCAACACAAGAAGTAACCACATCTATATCCTCTTTGTGGGTGGCAAAGGCCCCAAAACAAGCTTGCAAACTTGGCATGTCACAATGGAAAGCATCAGAAATGCCAAGCGATGCATCTGGCTACCGCCTAGTAGCAGCATGCAGCGTGCATATACCTCCCACATTCTTCGAGGCCAGCTTTTGGGGGATAACCCGAACATTCTTATAAACGACCGTGACAAAACCTTGGCAATTGCAACATACATGCGGGAAGGAAAAAAGCCGCGGCGGCTTCTCAACAACATCTTTGGCACGGAACCCCGAACCAGCCCTGCACAGCCGACTGGCCAAGTCCCGAATGCCCCTGCCTGGCCGCCCCCATCCAATCCGCTCAGATCGAAACGAGACAGCCGCGGAATGGAGTAAGGCGCAGAGCGCAAGATTCTCCACAGCTCTCCCCCACCATTTTGACAGATCCAACTGGATGTAGGGAAACCACCCAAAAGCCCCCGCCAAACCCAGGAAACTTCTCTGGAGCCTCCTGACACAAGTTAGTGCAAAAACGACTCTGGTAAGAATCTGTCTGGTGGGCTGGGGGTCCCATGCGAAAAGTTAATAACCCTTAGTGGTTTTTTGTTGACTCCGGAGGTAGGTTTAATTCGGAAAACCCATCAGTTGGCAAAAAGTTAAAGTCCTAACATCCCTTGGCAAAATGCGCCAAAGTATGAATGATCTGCCGCATGCGCATCCAATTTTGAGGGGGGGTGGGGGCTTCACCTCAGCGAACAGGCCATCTGCAGCTGGCGTTGGGGAAGGGCCACGCAGCAACTTGTTGCGGTCGGACGCCGGACAAAGCTGACGGCTTCCCCACCAAAACGGTCACTGAATTTCCTCAAGAGTTGATGAATTGTTAGAATTGTGGTAGGTCCCACGGAAACTGCCACATGGATCGGATGAAAGAACAAAAAGTCCATCCATGGCATATGGGCAGCTCGAGCAACGAGTGGCGACCCCCACCCTTTCCTCCTTTTCTGGGATGGCTTGAATAAATGGAAAAGGAAAAACCCGCTCCGAAAAATCGAGCACAAACGTCGTTCGAGACGGCGCCTTTTCGAGACACGACAGAGGCAAAAGTAGATGGCAAAACTCCGCCTGAAGCTAATCAAGAAAGAATACAAACAAGCGCTGGGTCAAGTCAGGCTCCACTCTCCGTGAGTCAACCTCTTTTTTCCGCTCTCGGCCGGATGTCGACCTCTTTTGCTTCCCTCGTTTTCATCCACGTCTCGGGCCAGGAGTCCGGGCGTTTTCCGTTTCGGGCCCGTGCCCGGGCTTGAAAGTTCGCGTGGAACCCTTACCTGGGCTCGTTTTTTTTCCTTGTATACCCTTCCAACAATCCAAAGCACCCTCATTTCAACCAACAAAAGGGAATCAAATCCAAAACAAAGCAAACATACACCCTGTTTCAACAAGTCGCAAGTTAGAGAAGAATCTCCGAACCAAACAAGAACTAAACCAAAACAAGACCCATCACCAGTGAGTGGAATCATCTCGAGTTGAGAAACCCTCTTCTTGGGGATCCACGTTACGTTGACCTTCAGGCGCATATTGACAGCTTCCCTGGGCGCAACGGGAGGCCAAGTGAGAAGACCCAGCGGGCGCTGGAAGACCTTCACTTGATCCGTGTCTGGAACCAGAACTTGCAAACTGGCAACAAGGAATCCCTTTTCGCCGGTCGCTCCCGTCGACCCGCGCAACGCGCCAATTGTTTGCGATGGGCCTTCGAAGGCCCAGGATTTGGACCGGGCGGCGTAACGCCAAACTCGCTGGCGACTCTGAATGCAGGATTGACAGGCCGTTGGTTGAAGTCTCACTTGTGAGCGAGTCCTGTCTTTTTGGGGGGAGGAAACGCGTACGAGGGAACTTTATGTATAATGTGAACGGGATAACCAAGCCTTAGTTAACAGAATTTGTACAACTCTAGATGGTTCCAGCCCAGGAGGGGCCCTGCCAGGACCCTTGATTGATAGAATTGTTAGAATTTATAGACTTTATGGAATTCTAAAACTCGGACCCCCCAAATTTAGATTTTTTAGATTTTTTAGAATTCTAGATGGTCCCAGCCCAGGAGGGGCCCAGCCAGGACCCTTGATTTTTAGATTTTTAGAATTTTGAGAACTTTTCAGTTTTATTGAATTGAATTCCAAAAATCGGACCCCAAAAATTTAGAACTTTTAGAATTGAGTTCTAAACTAAGAAATTCTAAAAATCGGACCCCAAAATTTTTAGATTTTTTAGAGCTCAATTCTAAAAATCGGAACCCGAAATTTAGAATTTTTAGAACTTTGAGAACTCAATTCTAAAAATTATTGGGGTCCGATTTTCAGAATTTTTAGACTTGAGTTCTAAAAATTCTTTAAAAAATAAACTTTGGGGTCCGGTTTTTAGAATTCTAAAAACTCTAAGCTTCGGGGGTCCGATTTTTAGAATTTTTGGAATTGAATTCTAAAATATTTGTGGTCCGAATTTTAGAACTTTTAGGGCTTTTAGAACTCAATTAAAACACTTCTAAATTGTCTAAAAATACAGTCTAGAAATCAAGGGTTCTGGCAGGGCCCCTCCTGCGCTGAGACCATCTAGAATTCTAAAAAATATAACATAGAATAATTTTTGAGAGTTCAATTCTATAGTTTCAAAATCAAAAAACATTGAGCATCCTGCACGCCCCTGGGCTAGGACGTGAAAGGCATGTCGCCCCCTTGGTTCGCGAGTAAGCAGAGAGGTTGGAAAGAGTGAGGAAGGGATGGGAAGGTGGAGGACATGCCTCTCACTGGCGAAAAAAGGGGTAGGAAGAGAAATGAAAGATGCTTCTCTTTTTACCTGTTGGAAGGGGTGAAGGCAATTCACCCTTTCATGCTACTCCTTTCTCTTTTCCACGCCTTTACCCACAACCACAAGTAGCTGTGTGTTGGATAAAGGCTTGGGAGAGGAAGGATATGCAGCCCTCACAAGCCTTCTCTCTTTGTTCGTCCATCATTATCTCTTCATCCACATCATTCTCCTTTCTCTTAAAGACCGGAAAAGAAGATAGGAAAAGGACAGGCGATGGAGCTTCAGCTCGTCTCATGCCTTCGCCAGCTCTAGGGCCAACATAAGAGAGGGAGAAGGGGTGACATCTCCTTCTCTCACGTAGAGTCCTTGCCATTATTTCATTATTTCAGAATGAAGAAATGGTGTGGGAAGGCGTGTGAGAGGGAGATGACCAGCTCCTCCATCATCATCCTATCTGTTAGACTGGGGCCAACGGAGAGAGCAAGAGAAAGAGGGTCATGTGATGGCTAATGAAAGACAAGGCCACCATCACCCTCAAATTATCTCTGCTTTTTACCTCTCATCGCCTATCTCCCATTTCTCTGTCTTCTAAATCTTGGAGGTGGATGAGGAAGGAGATAGGATGACAGGGAAAGCATGACGAGGCCTTCCCGCCCACTCTCTTCCCTCAGCCACCTCCCAATCTCCTTTCTCTCGCTTGCAGGTGATGATGAGTGAAGAAGTGAGCGAAGAGAACAAGCAAGGAAGAGAAAGGGAAAGAGATGTTACCGTTATAAAAGTGTCTCCAAACTCCAAGAGATATCAAACAAAAATGCATTGCATCTCTTTCATTCCCTTTCCCCAAGGTTCTTTGCCTATCTTGTCATCCCCAAGAATATCAAAAGAGACTGGGAATGACGGGTAAAGATGATTCAGAAAGAGATAGAGACTGAACGGTTAGACCATAAATCCTGGCAAGAACTGGCCAGCGGGTGGGGTTTCCTCTGGTCACCTCCCACCTAATCACCTTCCCATCTCTCTCTCTCTCTCTCTCTCTCTCTCTCTCTCTCGTCATTTATTGCCTTTTTTCTTTCCGTTCTCACCGTTGCAACAACTAGGAAAGGATAAGGGTGGGAAAGAGAATTAGAATGAAGAACCCAGATGGCATGAACGACATTCTGGGTTCGATGACAGGACTAAGGGAAAGGAGATGTTGGTGATAGAGAAGGAGAAGGAATTGCATTCCTTTCTCTTGCAGAGAATCCTTGCCACTCCAAAATCAAGAGATTGCGAGGGAAGGGAAGGCGTGTGAGAGGGAGATGACCAGCTCCTCCATCATGATCCTATCTGTTATTGCTGGGTAAGGAATGTCCTCCTCCACCACCTGTTGGTTTTGGGATCGCATAGTAAACCAACGGAGGAGGGCGGTTATATGATGGCTAGCTAGTGAAAGAGAACGTCATCATCACCCCTCACATTCTCTCTTCTTTTTACCTCTCACTACCTATCTTCTGTTCTCCATCTTTCGAGAGAAGAATGAGAGGGAAAACGTGACAAGGTGAGTGCACACCCACCCTTCCCACCCACTCTTCCCTCACCCACCTTCTGAAGCTTGCAGGTGATGATCAGTGAAGAAGTCAGCGAAGAGACAGGACAAGCAAGGAAAAAGAAACAGATGTTACTATCCTAAAAGCATTTCCATATTCTAAGAAATGTAAAACATCTATGCTTTCCATCTCTTGCAGCCCCAAAGCTACTAAAAGAGAATGGGAATGACAGGTAAAGATGATTGGGGAAGAGATAGAGAGTGAACGGAAAAGCTGGGACAATAAGGACATTCCAGCTCCTCTAGCTTTCATTCACTTCCCTTCTCTTGACCTCCCTCGTTTCCCAAAGAAACGTATAATGGGAAAGAGAAGCTGAATAGAGGTGAAGAAAGAGGAATTCATTTGTAACTGCTGGAAAGAACTGGCCAGCGGATGGGATTTCCTCTAGCCACCTCTCACCTAATCACTTTACTTCTCTCGTCATCAAGTTCCTTTCTCCTTTCCATTCTCACCGTTGCAACGGCTAGGAAAGAAGAAGGGGTGAAGAGATAGGAGAGAGAACTAGAATGAAGAACCCAGATGACATGAAAGACGTTCTGGATTCCGTGACATGGTTAAGGGAAAGGAATAGAGAAGGAGAAGGAGTTGCATTCCTTTCTCTTGCATACAATCCTCGCCACTCCAGAATTAAGAGATGGCAAGGGAAGGCGTGTGAGACGGAGATGACCAGCTCCTCCATCATTATCCTATCTGTTAGAGCTGGAGCTGGGCAAGGAATGTCTCTCCCCACTACTTGTTGTGAACTCTTGGGATCGCATGCCAGGTAAACGACCGGACAGAGCGAGAGAGAGATGGAGGGCAGTCAAATGATGGCCAAGGAAAGAGAAGGCGCAATCATCACTCTATTACCTACCTCCCATCATCTCTAGCTTCTAAATCTTCGATGTGGATGAGGGAGGAGGTAGGATGAGAGGGAAAACGTGACAAGGTGAGCCCACCCACTCTCTCCTTCACCCACCTTTTTAATCTCCTTTTCTCTCGCTTGCAGGTGATGATGAGTGAAGAAGCGAGCGAAGAGTCAGGGCAAGCAAGGAAGAGACAGGGAAAGAGATGTTACTATCATAAAGCGTTTCCATATTCTAAGAGTATACAGCAGAGATGCTATATAATTAGGGATGCTTTCCATCTCTTGCATTCCCTTTCTCCATTCTATTTCCCTCTCATGTCACTCCCAAAGCTGCTAAAAGAGAACGGGAATGACAGGTAAAGATGATTGGAATTGGACAATAAGGACATCCCAGCTCGTCTAGCTTTCATTCACTTCCCTCCTCTTGACCCCCCTCGTTTCCCAAAGAACTTATAACTGGGCAAGCGGTTGGGAAAGAGAAGCTGAATAGAGGTGAAGAAAGAGGAATTCATGTGTACCTGCTGGAAAGAATTTCTTTTCTCCTTTCCATTCTCACCGTTGAAACGGCTAGGAAAAAAGACAAATGAAGAGATAGGTAAGAGAATTAGAATGAAGAACCCAGATGACATGAAAGACATTCTGGGTTCTATCACATGACTAAGGGAAACAAGATGGTTGGGTGGCCATCCATCTCCTTGCCTTCTCTCTCATCTCTTTCCCCGAACCCACCTCTCAGCTTCAAGGAAGCTGTAGGTGGTGAGGAATAGAAATGAAGGGAGAAAGGGTGGTGGTAAGGTGGTAAGGTGGAGGCTTGAAATGAAGTGAATGCGTGATAGAGATGCAGAGAGGCTGATGCAGGCAAGAGATGGGAAGGTCATAAGGCCAGATAGTCATCCTCCCCTCTCGCCTTTTTTTCTGGGCATATCTTCAATTTCCAAGAAGATCTTTTACCATCCCCCATCCATCTCCCAGCCAATGAAAATGAGGTGAGGGGATGGGGTGGCCAATCCATGAGTTGTTCCTCTCTCTCGCCCTTCTCTCCTCTCTCTACCTCCCATCACCCAACCTCTGCTTCCGAGAAAAAGAGTTGGGGTGATAAAGGGAAACAAGAAGGGAGGAGAAAAAAGCAATGGAGATTCCTTAGCCCACCCTTCCTTGAGATCTTATTGGTAGGCATGTCCTGTCTATAGACTCTCTAGACCCAATTATAAATTGATTATTGTGATCTCAGACACCAATCTACAGTCCTATCGCTTGGTCATTTCTGTATCACCTATTAATCACTTGTCTCTATTTTGCTCCATTGATAAGACTTCTGAAGTCTATGACATCAATAATCGCAAGGCAAGAGAAACACCAAGAGCTGAGAAAGACAATTAAACATGAGATACGCTAAAATAGATTATATAAATAAAAAAATGAATTGGAATTAGTTTCTGGGTTGACCTGACCGTGCAAATCTGCGACGCTGCTATCCCTTTTTTCACGCAGATCAAGTGGCAAGTGCTGAAAAAAGAGCCGGTTCACATTATACGCATTGTTCCCTGCCACGGAGGAAACGCCTACCCTGCAAGTATTCATCTGGGTAGGCCTCATGCAGCCTCAGTGCTCCCGCGGAGACGCGTGAGCAATGTCCTGGCAGGGCGGGAGAATTGTAATGCTTCAAAAAGAATCATGAAGTTTCAACGTGGCACCTTCACCTCTCGGGGTGCTGCCGTCGCAATTTCATTCGCCCAAATGGACACGCGTGAATGATTTTCCTTGGCAAACCCCAAGACCAAGCCAGGAGCCCAAAAATGCCACCACTGCGTGGCCACTCCTTGCTCAAACCTAGCAAGGATCCATCTCCTGCAAATTCCTGTCATTGTTTGGTTGAGCCCTCGGTTTGCTCGTTCATGGTTTTGCCTTTCTAGCGCTCCCCGAAAAAAAAAAGAAAAAAAAAAGAAAAAAAAAAAAAAGAAGAAAAAAAAAAAAAAAAAAAAAAAAAAAAAAAAAAAAAAAACGGGATCCGCGGAGCAAGATGGGCAGAGCTCCCCTCTTCTGCCGTCTCTTGGGTCTACTTGAGCTTAGGCAAGCAAGCCTCATATCGAGCCTTGCGTGAGCGCTGTGAAAGCCTGGTGATCCATCGATTCAAGTGACACACCTTGCGACCTGGCAAAACAGAGGTTGAACCTGGGACCTGGACGAAAACTTTAGTGGAAAGTCCGAAAGGTGAGGTCGATTCGCTGGCAAGCGAGGTCGCAGCCCCGCGAAGCGGCTCCTCTTTGATCATCTTTGCTTTCCTCAGCCCAAAGCCACCCTCCCCCAATTTCATGGAGAGCAAAAGGGAGAAAACCAAAGGACCCCCCCCCCCACCGAACCCACCGAAGGTTGGCAAGCAATCTTGAAGAAGCTTCGAAAAAGCGCTGTTCTCTCTGGGGCGTTTTTGCGTCCGTGTGTTGCGTTCCTCTGCGGGACCGTGCAAGGATCCTAGTATGCACTCATGCCACTGCCTGAATTCAGATGGGAATCCCAAGCCTTTCTGGAGGGGTGTGCAAAACGGCCCTTGGATGACACGACGACGAGAGAAATTCTCGGAGACATCCTTCCATGGTCATAAAACAACCCTTTGGGCACATAGCCAAACCCTTAACCGTTAACCCGTTCGACCCTTCAATTGTTAAACCTAGCCACAACCCGTACACCATCTCAAAACCTTCGCATCCGGCATCTGTCACTTTGCGGGGGATGCCAACTTGGCATTGCAAAAAGCGGGTGTGTCTCTCTTGAGGATACTGTACTCTTTTTTGGTTGGTTTTGAGGGACGAGCCACCCAAGTGGCAAAAATAAAGGTTCCACTGGCAAAACGGCCCTGGACCCCACCCACAGCTCTCCCAGCATTCGAGCGGCTGCACGAGCATCCACCCGTTCTGCACCTCCAGGTAGGCTGCGGTAATGGCGAAGATGCTGGTCCTAGGATCATGGATGGCTCGAGAAGACCCTGGACATACTGTGGATGAACGAAATCCTGCACCACCTAGGAGACCCTGGAATGATGATTCCCCCTGTAAAAACCACTGGTTTCCCATGATTTGCAAGTGGTGCAGGATTTCGTCCATCCACAGTAGGTGTCCCTTTAGGAGAAGTAGATGGGTTTCCCTGGTAGATGGTTAGATGGTTAAACCACCAGGTACGCCCTCCATTTTTCGACCAAAACAACCAAAAAGGACACCCACCCTGGAATGGAGTCAGGGAAGGGGGGTGGATTCCCTAAGGCTCCCTACGGAAGCCTCAAAAACCCTGGGGCTTTCAACTACCCAACCCCCAAGAAACCTACACCCCCTTCATTCCATGGAATCAGGGGAGAAGACTGGCCAAAAGAAACCGAAGAAAACCAAGTTCTACCTTGCGAATGGCCGCATGGGTCTATGGAGTCTATGGCTCCCACACTCCCCCCCGGCTGGCTTGCCTTCCGCTCGAGGCTGTAGGTGCCACGAAGCGAGATGCTCAAGCACCCCCCCACCCACTTTGCCATGGAACCCACCAAACCGTCCGACTTCCAATGAACCATTTCGCCTTTGCCCTATAACCAGCATTTGCAAGCACAAAATGAAATAATCCCTCAAAACACAAATGGAAGAAGAGAAGGCACAGCAATCACAAATGGAAGCACAACGCGCAAATGCAGAAGCCTTGCATAATGCGCAATCACAAGCACAACGCGCAATCACAACTTTATGCAACAGAAGCCTTGCATAATAGGCGCAAATGCAAAGCAGCAGCAAAAGGGCCGTCTGCAAAATGCAAGCGCACGCTGCCAGCAGCAAATTGCAATCTACGCAGCACACCGGCAGCGCCAGTCGCGCAACTAGTCGCCGCCGCAAATGCTGCATTCAAGCAACACAGCAGCAAAAAAGCAGTGCCGCCTGCAAAATGATCATGGGGAGGTGTTTCCCCATTTCTCCCCCTCGTCAACCAGGGGGCTGTCAATCCTGGTCGCCCCTGGAGCCGGCGCAGTTGAAAGCCTTTTTCGCTTTTGAAAGCGTTTCTGAACAGAACCTTTTGCTGCTAACACGGTGGTGGTGTTCCAAACTTGCTTGCTGCCAATTCTAAATGCGTTGTGCAAAAAATCCGAAACCCCTGAACGCTAGATTTAGATGTGTCCTACAAATCAAACCAATGCCATCGAGTTTCCACTGCCCCAAGGCATAACAATGTGGCTGATTCCTATGCTACTTTATCTCTTGAGAGGGGATCACAGACTCAGTTGCCCAAAGGACCCTGAAACAAAAGGTCAGCCAGGGGAACCGAAAGGCTAAAATGTCGATGTCGATGACGAGAGGCTAAAACACGCCAAAACCATGACCCCAAAAAATTGGCAATTCACGCACCAGCCTGCCTGCCACCCCCAAAGAACTCCGGACAGCAGCCAAGCCCACCTTTGAACCATCCCAAGCCCCTGCAGGGTTCCCCTTTTTGACTACCCCAAGATAGACTTAAGCCTTAAGCCCTGGGGGTTTCTCTTGTTTGGTCCCCTGCTTTGTTTGTCTCCGGGGCGCAGGAAGGTCAAAGGCCCTGCAAGCACCGAGAGGAACTTGGCCTCCTCTGCTGTCACGGAATGGTCCTGACGGCCAAATCCATCGGGTCAAAATGCATGGGGCAGCGCTCGGCCTATACATCCCAAAAGGTGCGCAAGGGCCCCATGATGTTTGTCAAAGATAAACCGTGCCCCATGGCCACATGGCGTGAATTTACCTGGCGGATCCCCCCCCCCGAGAAAGAAGAAAAAAACATCTTCCCGTTAAAATGGTTTGCAGCCCGTATTGATCAGGGGTTGACGAATCCTGGGCTCCAACCAAAGGCAAATCCGATGGCCTCGCCATGTTGCGCTATTTTGAGGCCAGGTGGTCTCGAGGTGACTGACATGCAAAGGGGCCCTTTGGTGTTCCGTGAGATTCATGAGGTTTCAATCGAGGGTGGCCGCCTGCGGCTTCTTAAGGATGTGTCTCATCCCCAAACATGCGTCGCTTCCTTTCAAAACCTCCCAAAGCATAGCAAGACTCAAAAAGGCAACCCTCCACGTCTGCAAGTAAATGAGTGGCTCGTCTTTTGTACCCCGTAAATGGTTTCGCTTTCCCTTTGGATTCCCTTTAAAACCCACCAACAACAAGAAAAAAATCGCGGAGAAAAAAAAAGACACGCCCAACTGGTCGCGCACGGCCCGAGCCGTCTCCTTGGCCAAGGCCTTCTGAATGGACTTGGACTCTTCGTCGGCGTGCTGGGCATGGTGCGCCGCCTTCGAACTTCGGCCGAGCCAAGCGGCCGCAACCAAACACACGGGGCCCGAAACGGACAGAAAGGGAAGAAACACCAAAGGGAGCAGGGGAGAGACGGGGGTTGCGGGAAACTATTAAAAATCATGGATAGCTGCCCCTCCCTCTAACAGAGGATCCTCTCAAAATCCAGAATAGTCTTCCAGGCGCCGCCCCCCCCCCCTCCCAAACACATGCTATGTTGATTCGAGGAAGGGCATGTCAGTTAGGGACCTTTGTCGTAGGCGAGCTCTTGCTACCAGGTGAGCTCTTTAGAACTTGTGCAGACCCCCACCCAAAACCGACGGGAATCAACCAACGCATACATGTCTCTTGCCACATAGCCGGCGAAATCAGAACATGTTGAGCTCCAACCCATGCCCAAAAATTGGCTCCTGCACGGGGAACATGTTGGCTTGCTCCGTCACCCCCCCCCCCAAGTCTGACCGTCTGACTGTCTGACCGTCTGATCATGGCATTCGATTCTTGGTTGCTGTTGACCCCCCTGCAAAAAGTGAATAGCTTTTTGGGGGTTTAGTGGAAAGCTCAACTTGATTTCAACCAAAAAGTGAAAGTCTAAAGATCAGGTAAGGATTTGTCCCCGCCTCCTCCACCGTGTAGTTGAAAGCCGCCGGCCGATCCGCGAAGAGGAAGCTCGTGGCCTGTGTCCGGGTGATCTTCTTCACGGAAGGCGCCGCCTCAGCGAGGCGAGAGGTGGCCAGGAGAGGAGGGGTGATTGGTCGGGGAAAAGGTGAAACCCACCCCGTTTTTTGGAAAGAGGGAAGGGCGAAATACGATGAAGGGCCTGCATGGAATGGTTTGTGGCTTTTTGGCCTGCTGTCGTTTGGTTTGCGAGCCGTGGCCAGAGGGGTGCTAGAGAATTGCCAACCCCGGATTCAACCCAAAAGTGATCCTGAAATGGGACAGCCTTAGTCAAAATCAGCCCCTCCGAGGAAGGAGTCCCATTCGCGTGCCGGGGCCCCAACAAAGGCTCGTAGGGGGAATCAAGACATTCCCCGAATTGGTTGCTTTTCATTTGGTGGTTTGAGGGTCATATCTTCCCATTTGACTAAGGAAATGAGGCACAGTCCAGCCCACTCGTTTCTCCAGGAGAAACATGGGATAGTCAGTGAGTCCCTAGTCGTGCACCACAAAATAGCGAGTGGCCCGCGGGCAAATCTGACGCTGGCTGAGACTGCCGCCAGGAAGTCGCTCTGTGAATCCTTGCGACTTCGAGCGTCGCGCTTCCGGCACGGCCCGCCCCGGACGGATGATATGTTTGGCTGGCTGAGCAAAAGAAAACCAAAAGGGCAAAAGGGCAAGAAGGTTGGTGGTGGATTTTCCACTGGTCGAGATCCACAGGACCGAAAAAAACAACGAGCCATGCCTGCGTGAAGCCAAGCCTCCCCCATCCACATCATCCCCAGAATATCTTCCGTTTTAGGCCTGAAATCAGCGTTCCCCAAGGATTAGCTTCATGAAGAGTTTGCTTCCTTCCATCGAGTTGGGCGTCGGGCCCCCAATCCTATTCGACGCAGCCATGGGAGTGTCATGGCCCAAGGGCCTAAAACGCCACAAAGCCCGCAGAAGAACGACAATAGCTTGCACCATTCTTCACAAATCTGGGAAAAGTTGGGAGCCCAGCATGGATCGATTTTTTTTTCGCTCGCCATCTTTCACCCAACTCGGTCGATGGTCGCTGGCCCATCTAACTGCTAGCCTCGGTCCGACGCAGCTTTGGCGCCGCCGCCTCGCCGGCGAGACGGCGAGGCTGATCGCATGCGTAGCACCGTGCTATGGCATAAACACGGGGGCTTGGAAGGGATGTTTGAATTGAAAGCTTCATATCTCACCGAGGAGTTAAACCTAGCTAAACCTGCTGTTGTTCAGACGCAATGGTGTTTTGGCACCAAGGACCCCTCCCAAAAGCAGGGCTCGCCCGGGGCTCGCCCGGGGCTCGCCTCTCGCAGCATTGTGCCCAAGCAAAGCAACACCCCCACACACAGCTGGAACCCTGGTACAACCTCCCCCTCTGAGCCCCCAAGCAATCCTGCTCACCATGTGTGACAGTGCATGGAGCTGCCCATTTCTGCGCTTCTTCCTTTCACCAGAATTCACTAGTCACTACCAGGGCTGCATGTTTTGCCAAAAAACAGCTCTGAAATCTGGGACCAAGTCACAAGGACCCGCACTATGAGCTCCTTTTACCCCCTCTCAGCCGATGCCTGCGGCGGCGGCAGAAGTGCGGCGTCCTGCGCAAAGTTTGGTGCAAGATGCCGCCCGCTGCTTACGACTGGCCTGTTGAGTTGGCTAGACACGGTGACCAAACTGTTTGGCCCTATGACAACGAAGCCTAGAAGCAAAAGGCTCGAACAGGTGAGACAGAAAGGCGCGGGAAATGCGATGCGGGCTTCTGATGTCCCAAGTCTCCTAGGTGGAGTTGGGGATTTGGATGCCCGGCTCGCTTTACCCCAGCTCAGAACCCAGAAGTATCCCCCTTTTGCCAATGAACCCTCACAGCACTACCCCCCACACATGCACCTACAGGGCTCATGCCAAGGAGCACTTGACATCGACCCTCTGTGCAAGTGGCAAGCACCGAGCACCAAGGGTCCCTCGCAAAAAATGACGCCTCGCGCTCAGGACGTGAGGCCGTACAAGCCAATGGTTCTGTCCCCCCCCCCCTCCAAGCATCCCCTGGCCCAGCGCATGCAAAGCCACACCAACATAAACGTCATGACATGTTCGAAACCTTCATCCTCTGGGGCTAAACCTTCACATGGAATGGCTTGAACACCCGATGCCATGAGCCCACGCTATGGGTGTAAGCCACGGAAACTCTAGTCGGGAAGGTTTGAAAATCAGCGCTAATCCGTGATGTGACCATCAACCGCTCCAGAGTAGGATGGTATCCTGCGAGTTCCATTCATCACACACCTCCAAAGTAAATGAGGCCTCATAAGCCCCCCCCAAAAAGAAAAAAAACGAGGTCATAACCTGTCCCCTCAAACCTCTGTCACCCCCCCCCCCCCAAGCGAAGTCCTCCAATAACCGGCCTCAGCAACTCAGCCAAAACAATTGATCCTTACTAGATCTGTGTAGGTAGGTGGGGGTCGCTTGCTGTCCAACTTGTTCCATTTTCTGTCGCTCAAGGTGGCCAGGGCATGCCCAAGCCAACTGTTGACACGCGAGAGCAGTCAGTTCCAGTTCGGTTCCGGCTCCCTGCAAAGGACAAACACGCGCTCGATGGCGTGGTAGCACATCCCTCGAACCTATAAAATACTATTGGAACTGTCAATGAAAAGTAAGTAGTGCAAACAAGCACTTGTTCTAGAACGAGGCTGTTTTTCTTCGAGAGTTATACAGCAATACATTTACATTGCACAAACCTACATGATCCTCAACATACCGGTTCCTTGCTTGATAGTTTGACTGGTGCTGGTGCGCTTGCATTGCATGACTCACACATTAGGTGGGTTCATGAGGGACGTGAGCTATACATTGCGTTTGCATTCTGGCATCTCACAATTTTCACGGTGGGCAATCATCTGTCAAAGCAAAAGCCCTAGCAAAGCTATCACGGGCACAAGGGTATCCAAGAGCTTCCCAACAAAGGCTACAGGGCAACTTTCTGAAAAGTATGAAAATTGCTCCTGAAATTTGTTTGCCTCTCTGAAATTGAACTATCTGCCAACTGGACCACGCAATGTCACGCAGGCCGGACACATCCCGCCACATTTGGCATCGTTTACATTCGCTCTGGTTAACGGCCAATGGCGGCATGCAAAGCAAAAGGGGGGCTGTTAGAAGGAAGTTTGTCCTGCCAGTGGGGGGCCAAAGAAAAAAATGTTAGTTTTAACATATTCAAACAATACATGTATCGGTATCAAAGGATGTGTACGTCCATACAAGCAGCCCGCTATAAACCCTAGCATGTGGGTTGAATATCCGTCAAGTGTCGCTTAATATAGTAAGGTACTGTTGGGAACAAACAACCAAAACCAAACGTGGAGATGGATACCCCCAAAATCCCGCCGCCCTCAACCTGGCCAAGCAGCGAAGAGGCATTGCCGGTGCAAGTCGAGCCACTGAAGGCAACTGAGCCCGGGCTCTGCGTCTCAGCTGGCTCGCAAGCGGGAGGACAGAGCCAGCAATCGCCGGAGAATGAACAAGTTTGCCGGAAGAGGCTCAACATATTTGGCGCTTTGCCAGCTAACTGGCACCACAACGTCTGCTAACAGTATCATGATGTAAGATTCAAAAACAACGGCTGCCGCGGCCGCCTCCCGCGCTCCGACTTTCGCGCACAAGCTGGCCTGGCTGCTGGTGTAGCGTTGCGGCGCAAGGACGCTCCCGGCACAACTCCCGCCAGGGACGCGGGGCGGGTCCTAGCCGACGCGCTCCAGCTCGGTGTGAGCAGGCCAATAAGGGTTCTTTAAGGTGCATTGGGGGTCGCCGCTGTGTAATTTGCGGAGTACCTAGTGGCACTCGAGGTCTTCTGTCAGCGATTGGTGGCCCAGCGATTGGTGGCCCTACGATTGGCGAGTAGCCAAGGGCAGGTTTCCAAGCCATAATCCCATTTGGACAAATGGGTTGGAGGGTTTCAAAGGAGACCGCTGTTTTAGGATTGGTTCAGTGATGCATGAATGTAATTGGGTAACTTGCCGAGCTTTTTTGTCTGACCCTGCGAGACAACGGCTGCTGCGCTGAGTCGCTTCGTGAAGTGACGACCCCGCGCAAGCGGCAGCCCATCACGCGTGACAGCGTCGCACGTCCGCCCTGCTGCCACCCGCTGCTGCGTCCAACAGTGACAGTGCCGCCAGTGCTGCCATACTGCTGCGTGCGTGGGGCGTGGGGCTGGGTGAGAAAGAGGCGACGCTCGCCGCCGTGGCCAGCGCGACTCTATCCCGGCGGGCCGACCACACGCGTCAAGCGGGCTGACGAGCGTGGCGTCGCAGCACAAGGCCTCGCTGCGCCAGGATGCTTTGCACACACATCTTGCCTCAGATTCCAGTTTTCTACGGCCGCGAGTCAAGCTACTTGCGGAGGGATGCGGAAAAGGGAGGGACGCGAGCAGGGAGACATGCTGCATTGCTTAGGCGCTAATCGCCGCGCAACTGGAGCTGCGGGCGCACGAGGTATTCGACCGGGTCGCAGCTGGTCGAGGAGCATGTTGGCGTGGAGGCCAACCTCCCGGCCCGCCTCCGCTGACATCGCGTCCCTCGGGCCCGACGACATGGTTCGTCCATGCCGCCGCCCACACGCGGCTGCAGGACGCCGCATGGACTGCCAGAAGTCGCCTCACAGGACCGAACGCAAACCAGTGTTCGGGAAGACGCGTGTTGACGGCGCAGAGCCGCCGTTGGAGCGACTTGCACGTTGATGCCAGCTAGGTAGTCTTTTCTCTGCAGTTGGAGAAAAAAAAGAGAAAAAAAGGAAAAAGAAGAAAGTGAAAAAAAATAGAAAAAAAGAGAAAACAAATGCGGAACAAAAACTGAGAGAAAGAAAAACAAAATCGGCCGGCGCGTGTTGGGGGGGCTGGCAACGTGCTTCCACACTGAATCTTGACGACCAGAGGCGCGAGCTGTCGAGCTTGCATTGTGAGCGTTGCTGCGACCAAAGCCAGCCAAAGCAAATCGTTGTGGGCGGCGGCGAAAGCGTCTGACTGGGACAGCGGTGAAGTACCCAACAGATGCTGCCCAAGCCCAGAAAATCTGGCTCGTTGACGAACCGCTGTGCGTCCCTGCAGAATTGTGTGGGCGGTGCCCATCCGGGTTGCCACGGCGATAAACCCTTGCTCTGCCGGCTACGTGTCGCCCTAGCCGGGTGCGGTGCTTTACACACAAGTCTTCCCTAGTTGACTGCCATGATTTTTGGCGCACACGAGAAAGAAAAAGGTGTGAAATCTTTCCTGCGGTTTGGCACCTAACGGATCACGCCAACCTCGGGGCCCAAGTTTGGTGGTGCTGGGCGAAATTTCGAATCTGTTTCCCTTGAACGCTGACACGTCACCGCCCGTATAAATGTAGAGTTTCTTGTTTGGGTCGGGGGTGGGCGTAGGAGTAATAGGTCTGCGCTGCGGAGCCGTAAGTACATGCTCCCCCACCAGCTGCGCGAGCCAGTCGAATACTTCGTGCGGCCACGCGCGGCTGGCCACCATCAAGGAACGCGAGCAGAAACTTTCCCACGAGCAGCGCCACTTGTGGCGATCAGCGCGGCGTGTCCGCCGAAACACCTCGCTGCTCGCGCACTTTGGGCGATGCGTTTTTTTCTCACACCTCTTCCGCTAGCATCCCAGCTTGCAGGATCTTAGGACCCGGGTTTAGTCGTGCTTGGCGTTGAAGTCGGGCCGCTGGAGTTCCGAGGCTGCGGACTTTTGCGCTTGCTCGTGCCTTGCCGCCGGCCCTTCGGTCGGCCTACGTCCATCGGTGGTCCAGCCTGCTCAGCACCTGCTTCTTGCCCGTGCGACCGAGCCCTCCCGCATGCCGGGCCGGTAGCGGTCGCTGCCAAGGAGCTCAAGGTATGTGGCCTCCTTGCGGCGCCAGGCTTCAAGCAAGGCGATGGGGCGGGCAGGGTCACGCCAAGAGCGGGCAGCTCCCTTGGACCGTGGGCGGAGACACGATCGTGGTGTCAACAGCAAGTCGCGCACCGTGCCACAAAGGCAAGCCGTTGGCAAAGACCTCAACGCGACGGTCGTCAGACCGACAGACAGGGACATTGAAGGCACGCATGCGCGTGTTGGTCACGCGCGCGCCTCGACTTCTCTTCATCCAAGCGGCGGTCATCCAGCCGATCGACCTTTTTCCGCAGCAACTGTCGGTCTGGGGTAGGTTAATGGGATTCGCCTCGGGCACCAGAGGGCTTTGCCTTAAGGGGGAGGGGTTCGCCTCCAGGCACCAGAGGACTTTGCAAAAGGCACACACCGACTTGCCAGCAAGGACTTCACTGAGATCCGGCATGGGGCCCTCAACGCACGACAAGCTGGCGGAAGGCATGGCAGACAAATTAGAGGCAAAAGCCTGCATGGCAGCTGAGGTCAAAAACCCACACCACCGGCGGCTTACTTTCGCCTTCCAGCGCGGCTTACTTTTCTTTTAAAGAAAAAAAGGTGAATTGCATCTCCGAACCACCCCTTCACTCTCCAGCGTCCAGCGCGGCTTACTTTTCGCCGTCCAGTGCGGCTTACTTTTCCAAACAAAATACAATATGCTGTGAGTTGCACGCGGCTTACTTTGCAGTCCAGTGCGGCTGACTTCCGCAGCCCTTGCTTGCTTGCGTGCCCAGCGTCCCCAGCGTTCCCTGACGTCCCCGGTGTCCTGAGCGTCCCTAGCATCGCCACCCCGCTGCCCCCAGCGTCCCAGCGTCCCTGGCGTGCGAGCGACTGCCCGCTCAACGGGGACGGCCCTCGTCCGCAGCACGCCGGACGTCGGGCAAGCAGTGACATGGTTCTGCGGGGCGCCCGCAGCGGCAGGCGCGCGCAGATGCGGGGAGCGACATGCGCAGGCGGCGAAGCAGGACTATGCGGAACAGTTTGCTAGGCAGCCGAAGCTCCGCGGCTGTGGGCCAGACGTGCAGCTCTCCCCGCCTGTGGCCCCGCCTGCGACAACGGCAGCGCGCGCAACGCAAGGTCAAGGTCTGAAAACAGTGTGTCGCGCGCTGCCTCGTCGGTCGGCGAGGTGGCCTCTTCTTGCCAGCCGCACCGCTCGCTGTGCGCCGCTCGCAAACCAAGGCCGCCATGCACCAAAGGCAACTGCGCTCGTTGCAGTTGCAGCCTGCCCAACTCGGTACCCCCCAGCGCCGAGCAGCCGTCAGCTCCGTCTCCGGCAAGCGAGCTGCCAAGCAAGCGGCGAGCGCCTCGTCGTGGCCAGCGGCATACAGCCGTGTCAGCGGGCGGCAACACTCGCAGCAGGTAGTTCCACCGCCACGCCACCTGCAAGTCGGGCACGCAAGGGATGTGATCGAGCAGCTTGTTGGTGCTGAACGCGTTTTTGGCGCAAATGGTCCTTGACCCAAACAAGGAACTTTAGTACGGACGGTGACGTGTCAGCGTTTGAAAGAAAAAGACTCAAAGGTTCGCCCAGCACTACCAAACTTCAGCCTCGAGGTCGGCGTGATCCGTTGGTGCAAAACCAAACACATGCAAAAGAAACTGCAGGAAAGATCTCACGCCTTTTTTTTCCCGTGCCAAAGATCGGGGAGGTCCATCGAAGGCTTCTCTTCACACGCTTCAGCCTTTGCCTTCACGTGCCGGCGCGGGTTGGGCGGGTGGGTCGACGCCAAACATGAAGGGGCATCCCTCCCACCCACACATATAGCATCCAGCAATTCTACCATGCTCACATGCACATGAACAGCAAACGGATGTCTGTTCAAAATGTTCTGATAAAACTAAAACTTGCTCACGCAAAACTCAATGAGCCCTTTCTTGGCACTGCCACTCGCGCGCCCAATTTCCTGGAGCGCAGGGCTCAAAAAAAATAGAAACAGGGCCAGCAAGCCGAAGCCAAATGTTCCTGTCTGCGGCGCCATGCACTCATGACTTCGGGAGCGGTTTTCAAAGTAAAGCATCGTCAACAAGTAACATCACACTTGCTTCGACGCTCACCCCCGACCCAAACAAGGAACTTTAGTACGGACTGTGACGCGTCAGCGTTCAAAAGAAAAAAACTCAAAGTTCAGGATCATCACGGTGCAGGACCTGGCGAAACTCCACCACAACTTGGACGACATGGCGAAGATTTGCCCTCCGGACCTCATGCTCGAAAGGTTCGCCCAGCACCACCAAACTTGTTGGCGCAAAACCGTACACACGCAAAAGAAACTGCAGGAAAGATCTCACGCCCTTTTTTTCCCCGTGCCAAAGATCGGGGAGGTCTGACAACTCCACGTGAAGGCCGTCATATGAGGGTGAAACTATCTCAAAATCTTCTGTTGGATATTCATCCCACTTCAACCGTGATGCCGCATCTGCTATGTTGCTCGAAGAAGGAACCCTAGCGTACCAGTTGGTCAGGCCAAGCTTCAGCTCAAGTTCAGCACTCTGCATTAACAGGTTGAAGTTGTGGAGGAAGGGGGGTAATTCGTTACCAGCGCAGATCTCGCGGCCTCGTTGTCGCAAAACCACAGAA